CAACCCAGAGACTCCAATATTCCTCAATTAAGGAACATTCCTTAAATTATAGTAGGATCCTTAATATGATAGGTATATTCCTTAATTAAGGGATATTGGAGTCTCTGGGAATTGCGAAGATTTTGCGAGGCTACACAGCACAGTACCAGGTTCGAGCCGGAGAACCTGGACAGCACACGAATTGCAGGAAAGACAAATCCGCGACGGCTTCAGAGGAGCCAGAATCGCGGCACATCGTGAAGAGAACAAAGCAGCAGCAGCAGCAGCAGCAGCAGCAGCAGCAGCAGCAGCAGCAGCAGCAGCAGCAGTAGTAGTAGTAGTAGTAGTGGTAGTAGTAGTAGTAGTAGTAGTAGTAGCAGCCACAAACCATCATTGAAGTCATTAGAGCAACAGCCTTACAGTGTCATGGCTCGCGATACGCAGAGCAAGTCCGGAGGATGGGTTGAACTGTAAGAGTTTAGGGGAGGAGCCCGGCCACAAGCTGGTCAGTAAGAGACATGTAGCAGTATGCCCGGCCGATGTCTTGGAGGTTGAGGGTTCTAGGGATGTTTAGGCCTTGAGGGTTTCACTTGAATTTTAATGTTTTGAATCCCCATGCTCTGCGTTTTTCTGGCGATGGTGCTGCGGTTGCTCGGCGTGGGCGCGGCAGCTCTCGGGGCTTTGCTTCTGCTGCGTGCGGTCAGGCAGGGAGGATGGGATCCTTAAGGAACCGTGGGGCTTCAAGGGGGGGGGTATATAACTCCCCTTAAGACCCCCTTAAGGATCCTATCAATCAAGGGAGGGGTTGTTTGGTGGGGCTTGGGGGTTTGCATTTCAGCAAAGTAGGCCAGGTCGTGGGAGTTCAGTCTATTGTTCCGTCAGGCCATTTATTTTGCTTCGAGTTCTTGGGGTTGCAGCTGATCTTAGATGTTTGACTAATTATTAATTATGCTGTTTGCTCGACAGGGTCTTTTGGTGATGTGTTGAAGGGGCTGAGAAGGCTTGGGTTGCAGTCGCAAGTAAGCCATGCTTTTTTCCAAATTGTCTATCTCGAACAGTTTCAGATCTGACAGGCTTCCGAAGCTGCAGAGACCTACGAAGTGCCTTTTGGCGCCGGGTCAGAAAGTTCTCGGGAGGCTTTTACTGGTAGGTTTCAGCTTGACAACAGCCCTGGTGCTGAACGTCTCAAGCTGGTGCCAGTTGGGATAGATATGAATGGGGATCTATAGCACAGAATTTAAACAAGTTCCGAACAAGCAAGCATGATACGGAGTCGCAGAAGGTGTAGCTGCGGTTTGCTGACGGCTGACATATGCTCAGCTTAACACCGAAAGCTGCCACCCTTCCCTCGAGACTTGGGCACCCTACAACCCTGCACGGCAGGCGCCGAAGTGCGACAGCTGGCTCCCGATGCGCTCAGAGGGAGGCCCGGTGCGATGTCATTATCTGTACTTTGTACTAGGTACCAATCAGACAACAAAGCGTCCCTGGAGGACTGTGATTTGGTCGGGTCTATCCTGAGGCTAAAGCCAGCCAAGACCCTGAGAGTGTCAGCGTTCGGGTTTCAGAAGGTTGGGGATCACGGTCCGCAAGCCGAGAAATGCTACTCATGCCCTGCTCCTAATCTTGTGCATACAAGGACATTCAGTGACTGAACAGACTTCGCGATGAAGCTACGGCAATGCGGACTTTCTGTTTACGTGTTCTTTCTGGTCTGGGTCACATCCTCTTTGTATTATTGCTTCTACTGGTCTTTGGTGTTTTTTTTACTCCTTATGGTGTATAGATGTTACTGGGACTGGGAGTGAGCACAGGCAAAGTCCCAAGTGTTAATCCTGGAATTTTTTGTTGGTACTTAGTTAGTGTATCGTTATTGCTTAAGTTGTTGTTATTTCCTGTCTGGGAGTTCACTTGGAAGCTGTTGTCTTGTGACGATCGACACGGAAATTGGATTGCATAACTCTTGTCTTCTCTAAAGCAACCTCGCCTGTGAGCTTCGTTCTC